TGTCTATATGTCTTTATCTATCTTGTTCTAGAATTCACAGCGAGTAGTACCATATCTCTATACAGAACTTTACCTTTGCCAAGAATTTTCATACATCTTGTTTCACAAATAGGTTGAAGAAATTCACATAAATGCATAATTATTAAAATCCTAGGGTATTGCTCAGAAGTTAGAAAGATTAATCTTCTGTAAACTCTCTGAGCCAACTTAATAAATGTTATTATCATTATATTTTGTGTTTTTGAAGATGGGCATTTCATGTTTGAGGCAAGTGTTCTGTACTGAGCTACATACAGCCAAGCTCCTATTTCTTAAATGTTAAATATTTGCCTCTATATTACTTTGGTTTAAAGCTGTATGAATAAAGAAGTTATAAATTAAATATATCTATTATTTGTGTCAAAGTAATTATAAGGAAAGTAAGAGATGTTTATGAAATAAAAGTGGCTGTGAGTTGTTCATTATTGAAGTTAGCCATGGTATTTGGGAGTTCACTGTACCACATTTAATCTCTAGGTTTTTTTACATAAACCAGTACTTGGGAGGCTGAGGCAGAAGGATCTTGAATTCAAGGCCAGTGTGGGCTACAGACTGAGACCCTGTGTCAAAAACACGAATAAAATTTCATCTCAATTTAGCTAGACAAATTATCAAAATGACTATTAAAAAGTTAAAGCCTTGGTCACAATCTTCTTTTAACAGAATCTAAAAGGCTCTATGGGTTCTCAGTCAGAGTGATTAGAAGCTAACATAAATCAAAATCCAAGTTAGAAAAGTGCCTTTGTAATTCACCCAGCTCAAGCGATGAAATAAGTGACAATGCCTGGCAAATGAGGTGTACCAAAAGAAAATTCTCTCACAAATGGTGAAAAATAGCCAGCTTAAAAAACTAAATGTAAGTAAGCTTCCTCTATTTAAAAATAGTAAGGCCTTAGGTGTGTGGTTTGGGGCTAGAATGCTTACTGAGGAAACTGTGTAGGCCCTCGTACCCACACCTAGTGGCAAGTTCGCAAGCCCAGTAAAAAGGTGCTTTTGTTAAGAAAGCTGGCACGCTGCTCACGCTTTTGCGACGTCATTTCCCACCTGGGTGACAGACATTTTACTCATATTACAAAGGTTTAGGGATCCTGAAGAGAGAAAAGGTAGAAAACCAGCCTAGTTTTTTTCTTTTTCTTTTTCTTTTAGCAGGAATCAGAAATGAATGTGTAAACTTAATGCATGCCACAGGGATGCTGTCGAAGTCACAAACAGGTTCTGGGCTTCTGCCCTTCAGGCTGTTTGAAAAATTTCTTCACTTTGGAAAAAAAACGCTTTCTGGGGCCATATACCTCTCTTTGTACCCACTCTTTGTTTTACGAAGTCTTTTACCTTGCTCCAGCGAATCACATAATCGAAGCCGGTGTCCTCTACCAAAGCCCAGAGTTTGTGGAGAAAAGTAGGAGCCACTGCCTTGCAAAATCTCTCCATGGTACGGAGGGCGAGCACCACTCGAAGTAGAAGTCTGAGAGAGCTGTGGCAACAATGGAAGCCTGAGCAGAACGAGCTTGTGTGGAGCTGCAGTTCCCTAATTGAAAGCCAGGTGCTTCCGTCAGAACTTGTGGGCGAGCCTTAATGTTCCAAGGCGAACCCTCATTGGCTAGTAAGTATCATGAGTTCAGCCCTCTACTGGCACGTGACATCTAGGCAACTTCCGGTAGGAGAAAATCTTCACCACGTGAGAGAAAAATGAATCTTGAGGAAAAGCCGGTAGTGGTCGCCATTTCGCTTGTTGTTGTCTTTGTTTCTTTTTTTTGTTTCATGCTTTTGAGACTTGGCCTTACTATGCAGCCTTGCCTAGCCTGAACATTTTTATGTAGACCAGTCTGACATCGATCTCTCAGAGCTCCTCCTGCCTCTGCCTCACAAGTTCTGTGCTGTTTTTTTCTCTGCTGCCTCCCTCGCCATTGGTGCTAATAGCTCCAGACAACTCGCAGTTGTGTATAGCAGAAATCAGCTGCTTGCAGGTGAGGGAATGCTAAAATAATTTTTCATATGTGGTGAGTCATGAGGCTCGTGCAAGAGGTGTGGCATTGTTCTAGTTTAGCATTGCATTAGTTTGATGTGTTAGTTTTAACCCTTTCACTGGTGAGACACTTAATTTTTTTCTTTCTTCCTTTCTTCCTCTCTTTTCTTTCTCCCTTCCTTCCTTTCTTTCTTTCTCTCTTGCTCTTTCTTCTTTCCTTCTTTCCTTTCTCCCTCTTTTCCTCCCTCCCTTCCTCTCTGCCTTCTTTCCTCCCTCCAATCCCTTCCTTCCTTCTCCTCCCTCCTCCCTCCCTCCCTCTCTCTCTCTCTCTTTCTTTCTTATTTTCTTTCTTTCTCTTTCTTTTTTTGAGACAGAGCCTGGCTATATAGAATCATTTGACCTGAAATTTAGTTTGTAGACCAGGCTGACCTGGAATTTACAAAGATCTGCTTGCCTCCACTTCCTGGGTGCTGGGATTAAAGGTGTGCACCACCATGCCCAACTGGTGAGAATTCTTGGTGTGTATTTTGGTGAAATGAGACACTCCTGGAATATTAGAAATTAGGATGGTTCCTTCTTTCAGTGATAATGTTGAAAAGGAGAACAAGAAGAAACTTGGGTAAGAAAATCTGGGGACTCTTCTGTTGTTACTACATTATTTCTCTTTTCATTAAAGAACAGTAGGGGAGGGACTGGGGAGTTAGCTTAGTCATAAAGTGCTTACCATGCAAGCAAGAAAATGTAAATTCAATCCCCAGCACCCACATAAAAGCTGAATATGGGACTAGAGAGATGGCTCGGTGGTTAACAGCTTTGGCTGCTCTTGCAGAGGACCTGGGTTTGAGTCCCGGCACCCACATGGCAGCTAACAACTGCCTGTAACTCCAGTTCCAGGGGATCCAACGACCTTTTCTGACCTTCGTGGGCATTGCAGGACATGGGTGCCCCTACCTACATGCAGGCAATGCATTCATACACATAAAATAAAAGCCAGATGTGGTGCTTATGCTTGAAATCCCAGTACTGAGGAGGCAGATAGGTAAGGATCTTGGATCCCTGATGCCCACCTTAGCCCAGTTGATGAGCCCCAGGTCTCAGTGAGAGACCCTGTCTTAATAAACAAGGGGGATGGCTCCTGAGGAACAAGGGACCCTTACTTATCCATGTATGTACACACATGTGCACCCCCACAAACACCCACATGCACATACACCATAAAGCAAGAAAAAGCAATGAGCAATTAGAATGTTACTTGTTTTATGAAATCATATATGTATCTCCTTGAGTTGAAATGAGTCCTGAAATTTTGCATTCCATTTTATTTTATTTAATTATTTTATTTATTTTTGCATTCCCTTTTAACACGGGAAATAGCGTTAATAAGGCATGGTGGTGCACAACTTTAATACCAGCACTCGGGAAGTGGAGGCAGGCAGATCTGTGCATTCCAGGTCAGCCTGGTCTACAAAGTGAATTACAGGTCAAACGATTCTATATAGCAAGACTCTGTCTCAAAAACGAAAGAATGAAAGAGAAGAAAGGGGAGGATGGAATGAAGGAAGGAAGGAAGCAGAAAGGAGGGAAGGAGAAGGAAGGAGAAGAAAGGAAGAAAGAAAAAGAAAGAAAGGAAGAGGGGTTAACAAACTCACAGCTTAGTTGGATTTTACTTAATTTTCTTTTGGAGCAAAATTTGTTTAAAACTATTCTAAGAGCATATATATATATATATAT